GTCACCAGAGAAGGGGAATACATATCAACTGAGGCCACTGTGTGATGAGATCTGTCTATCCCATTGAGGCGAGGGAGCGTTATTGCCTCTGCAGGTGTTATTGAAAGCAGGCTTTCTCCTGGAGCGACTGTCAAAACACTTTTAACAGCGTCCTTCAGCATCAGCTCCAAAAAAAAGAGGGAAAAAAAGGCACGACTCTTGGAAATCTTAATGAATCTTTCATGAAGCTGCTGTGGGAATTATTGCCTGAGAAGGTAGTGAGATGAGTTCCGGGACTACGAGACAGGAGAGGACTGTGTTTCAGAAGTTTCAAAGATGGGTCACACGCACACTTCTTCCCCTCACAGCGGCTTCAGAACTCGTCTAACAAGTATTGTATGTCCTGTGGCAATTCCTGGAGTCATACAACTTTTATATCTATGGAAGTGCACAACTGTCTCTAGTGGCTACGAGCAGACTTAACAATTGCAGGCTGCCTGCGAGTGTGTGGTGTATAATTAACTTCATCAAATGGGTTTGTTTGCCTTGCACTTGGATTTTGTGCAAACAAAGGCCACTCACTCAAACGATTCATGGAAAGGCATAGACTGTAATTGGCGTTATCTAAAAAGCAGCTGAAGTCTAATGCGACCTTCCATATGTCAACGTCTGGGAGGCAGAGGGGCAGGCGCTGCGAAAAGCAATTAGGGGTGAGGTGCATGCACAACTGTTCCCTCTCAGGCTTTCAGCTTGAACGTGTGGAATTGTATGTGATTAAAGCACCTTACAGAGTCTGTCTGATGGCTGATGTTGTTTCTGGAAAATGAGACAACACTGGTGAAGTAATGCAGTAAAGTGATCTTTAGAATCCAACATGAATACAACAATGTGTAGGAAAACCCTGGATGGGAAAAGCACGCTGAAGTATGTAGAGTTGCTTCTAGTTGAGGAGAGAGAAACGTATAAGACTAAATCATTGTAAAGTTTTTGGTAACTTCAGTGCTTGAAGTACCCTTTGTTTGTGAGAGAAGTCAAACAAACTACTCTGCTTCTGAGTCACAAATATGGCTGCAGCAGGTAATGCACCATACTAATAATAATAATGGAGTTATTACTCAAAACAAGTCCAGATCCAGATCAAATATTAGGCCATTTGATTAATTGCAAAATAATATTTTCAAAGAAAACTCCATTTATATTTTAGTCCAAGCATTTATATTGTAATAACTTTGTTTAGTAGAGACTGAAGTGCCATTTAGGACATTTCAATATATTTATTAGACAGAACAACTTGTGATTAATTGATGATGAAAATAACCATTTGGCAGCTTTGGAAAACAAAACATTAATACTTAACATCTTTCTGAACCTCTCTCTAAGAAAACACTTGTTCTGTGGTAATGATGAGGCCTTGTGAATCCTTAAGAAAACCAAGAACGAAGAATTCCAGGTGTGTTCCTGTTTTAACTATTCCTTATCCGTTCCAGACAGCCTTATAGCATCTGGCCCCGTGCCCTCTAGGGAGTGAGCATGTGTAATGCCTCGCTCCTAAAGCAGAGAGGATCCTGTCACTCCTGAGAAGAAAAGAGCCCTATGACAGAGGAGAATAGATTTGACTTAACCATGACTTTTTGACTCGGGTCACCTTTTTATCTAAAATTCCTGATAGTTGAGTCTGCACTATTGCATGACAATAGTTTAACAGTAACACTAAAGTAAGACCATTTGAAAATAATCGACACAGACTGGGTGATATTTTGGTTTCATGACAGTTTCTTTAATAAAAACAGCATCCTTCACATGAGATGTTCATGATGGAATCAACACAGGGTTTCTTTTGGTCTCCCTGCCTGGATATAATACCTTTGTGGATATTTATTTATTTTAAGTCCAGTGAGTTTGGAGTGTGAACGAGAATGATTACTGTTGGTCGTCACTT